GCATAGATATACAAATTTAAGTTTCTTTTTTTTTTAACAAATCAAAACAATCAAAACAAAATAGCAACCAAAACAACAATGAAGAGGAATAATAGCAATAAACAGTTAGATTATAAGGCAGTGTAGAAAAATAAAACAGGGACATGTCTGCATTGGTCCCTGCCAGGAGTCCAACAGATTCTTAAAGTCACTTAGAGGTCAAAGGTCGAGAGCTTCAAATGTTTTTGAAAGATATTCCAGGAAACAGGAGCGGAGTAGGAGAAGACCCTTTTGACTAGTTCAGTCCTCAGTGAGGGAACACTGCAGGTAATAATGTCCTGAGAGCGCACGCTGTAGCTGCACTCACGCAGTGACATGTAGGAGGAGATGTATGGAGGCAGCAGATATAAATCAAGATGTTAATTCACTTGGACTAGACCAGAACAGAAATTCAAAGAAAGTAATAAAGAGTTGGAAGGAAAGAGAACAAATCTAGCCGAGGCCCAAAACTGCGTCTTCGAGTTAGCGGACTTGAGCATCGAAGCTAACGACTCGATACAGACAATGCTAACCCAGATGTGCTACATGCAGGACAAAGTAACAGACACTGAGGCAAGATCACGAAGAAACAATATTTGTATATTTGGATTACCGGAGGACAGTGAAGGGGACGCAATGACAAACTACTTGGACAAAGTCTTTAAAAAGTGGACATTCCTGAAGAAGCGGAGTTGGGAATTCAACGTGCACACAGGAAACACCCCCCACCCTAAGCTTCAGGTGGGTAAACCTCCAAGAACAATAGAGATCAATTTCTTAAAAGTAAAGTGCTATGTGTTGTCACCATTGTATGTTTGGTCTCTCTGCATTAACCCATCACACCTGGTGTACACCCAGGTGGAGCAGTGGGCAGTTATGTAGGCACCCGTGGAGAAATTGGGGATTTGGCGTCTTGCTCAGAGACACCACGACGTTCGATTCAATTCAGTTCAGTTTATTTATATAGCGCCAAGTCACAACAGAAGTCATCTCACATGTGGGAATGGCTGGGGATCGAGCCAGGAGCTTTCAGGTCCTGAGTCGGCTGCCCTGCCTCTGCTCCATCTCGGACCCGTCGGAAATCTAAGAAATGAAGGAAATGATTCTGACAAAAGCCTGGCAAAAAATATATATATACAGAGCAGTCTAATCCAATTTGACCTTGATTACCTGATGGTAAAAATAAATAAATAAATAGATAAGTTTGCGTGCGTATGCTTTGACTATAGGCACAACAAAACTTAGAGAAAGTCCAGACCTCCTGAGATCCAGAAGCCACTTCTTTTATTCCTCAATCTCCTGAGTCCTGATCATCAACTGCGTTAACAATTTAAATACAGAGGGGAGGGGGTAAAATTTTAAATAAATAAATAAATAATTAGATGTGGCAGCACGGTGGCGCAGTTGATAGAGCTGCTGTCTCTCAGCAAGAAGGTTGCTGGTTCAAATCCCGGACCTTTCTGTGTGGAGTTTGCATGTTCTCTCTGTGCATTCATGGATTTTCTCCGGGTACTTCAGTTTCCACAATAAAAACATGCATGTTAGACTGATTGGTAACTCTAAATTGTCCCTAGGTGTGAGTGAGAGAGTGAATGGTTGTTTGTCTCCATGTGTCCCTGTGAAGGACTGGAGACCTGTCCAGGGTGTCCCCCGCCTCTCGCACAGTGACTGTTGGATATGGGCACCAGTGACTCCTGTGACCCAAAAAGGAAGAAGTGTGTAAAAGATAAAATATGTATGTATGTATGTATGGATGTATGGATGGATGTATGGATGTATGTATGTATGTATGTATGGATGTATGTATGTATGTATGTATGTATGTAT